TGAAATTGCAGGTTTTAGTTTGTTCGGACATCGCCTATGAAATTCATCCCTCACTTGTCGGTATGAATTAAAATCGTTACCTCTTAGTCAAACGTATTACGATTTTTTCCTGTAGAGTAAACATTTTCACACACTCGATGCTTTAGAATTTTTCACTTTCGTCTTGATTTACTAAAGATACAATTTAGACTGATTATTGGAAATACAAAACGCGCAGAAAAATTCGTCTCTTTTTTATGCACATCGTCAGTCTATTATTTACACCTCGTTGCATCTCCATTGGGCAACTGCAAAAATGTCACGTAAACATTACACTGAACGTAAACAGAAATCGAACCTTTGTATATTTCCTTACACCTTTCATAATACCATCCGCCTCCCGCTGTTGCTAATTTAATTGCTCCTAATTTATGATTATTTCGAAAAGTTAACAATTTCAGAGGTTCCTCCGAAGTCGCACGCCGATCGGTTCTCGCCGACTCCCGGGTGACACGCACACGCGACGTAAGTATGCGTGCGTTCGTGTGCGCCGCGAATTAAACATGGCGACGTTGCTATTGTCACGTAAAACTGCAGTTAGAAATAATAAAAAAAAAAGGTAGTTGAGCCGTAGCCCAACTTACTACTCCTTTTATTTCGTTTTACACAGATTACAATACACAAATTACAATAGCACTGGTAAAAGATCCTGCGGGTTCTGAGGTTAAAGTCAAGACTGTCTTCCGGGCGAAATACAATGGCTTATACATATATATGTATATTATCTTATCACAACGGATGTATAGTTTATAAACGGAAATGAGAGCTCCTAGATTTTGTTACGGGAATTGGCCCTGTTATACTATGACGACCAGCCGGCGGTAGATGCTAGTCGAGCGAAGTGGCCAAATTCGGAAGAAGACTGGTACGTTCGGCTAGCACATGTATAAAATGACACGCTCAAATGGCGCAAGTAGATCGCAACGAGCATCTACACGATTACGTTTACACCTACAATTACGACTGCGACTACTAACCCGGCTACAAACACGATCCACGATTACGATTTACGATACTGAATTATAAGAGTGCGAACACGGCTTACGATTACGGTTTGCGACTTCGGCGTGCGATTACGGCAATTGTTGTATATGGTTGTACTGTCTTTTTTATTGCATTTTGTGTGCGTCACTGTTTACCATCATTGTTGCCGGTATTCGTAATACCGTTTCACTCTCTGTCGATTTCAATTTCAATTTCAATTTCAATTTTAATTTAAAATTGTTTCTATTTCAATTTCAGTTTCAGTATCAATTTTAGTTTGAATTTCAATCTCAATTTAAAATTCAGTTTCTATTTGAATTTCTGTTTCAGTATCAATTTTAGTTTCAATTTCAAATTCAATTGCCATGAACTGATTACACTGTCTGACAAAATCAAACTTTTTTACTATTTCCTATAGCCACTATGAAATTCTTGTAGAGCTTCATTCCCCGAACAAGAATCCGAAAACCGAATTGCTCCATCACTCCCAGATTTGAAAAAAAACGAACTTTTGTAAAATTCTAAAATTTTAGTCAAAAATGAGGTATTGCATGAAAAGTACAAACGCTAGAAAGTTCTAATCGGTGTTAAAAGATAGAGAAGAGTTTCCGAAATATAGTGGCATGCAATTAATAAATTGCAAATAAAGTATTTTTGGTCCTAAATAACTATAAATTAATGTCAAAGTTTAAAAATGTGTCGACGTGCAGTCGTAAAAATACAAAAATATTGCAGTTTCTCCGCAATATTTTTGTATTTTTACGAAAAGTTCTTTGTTCAGCACGAAAACTCTACTCAGGATCGGTTCTGTAAACATTTCTGAAGAAGAAACGGCCCGATAGAAGTGTCGGAACGATGTACATTTTGAGTAGGCTGAGAAAATGTTCGTCGGCACATGACACATGTACACTCGCTTCTCTCTGTCCGACAGGGCCGAAGCTATGCGTAATCAATACCGATGGATGAATTTTTTTTAGTACTTTAATGTGTTGCCTTCTTTTACATATTTCTGTGGATAATAATCACCAAACTGTGAATCAAAAATCAAGAAGTACGAAAAACATGGTTTTTGTTCGAATTTGTTCGAATTACAAGTACATCATGTATACAGTTATCGTTTAAATAATAAATAAATAAATAATCATTTTCAAAACATTAAACTTCTTGAAACATATTGTTAAATATATATTTAAATATTTATTTAATTATATGGCGTAGAAATCAAAATTATACTAGTGTTAGAATATTTTCGTTACCCACTGCAAATACTCTGATGTCACTTTTTTCGTGAAATATATATATATATCACAGCTTGGTGATTATTACCCACACACACACACACACACACACACACACACACACACACACACACACAGAGAGAGAAATATGTAAAAAAAGAACAGAACATTGAAGTACTAAACAAAATTCAAATATTATTTACGAAAAGTGGGTGCCCCATTGGATCCCTCCATCGATGTTGATTACGCATAGCTTCAGTCCTGTCGGACAGAGAGAAGCGAGCAGCGAAGAACATGGCGGCAAAACGTCGTGTACATGTTGCCGTCGAATATTTTCTCGATCTACTCGAAATATATATCGTTCCGACACTTTTACCGGGCCGTTTCTTCTTCAAAAATGTCTGCAGAATCCGATCCAGAATAGAGTTTTTGTGCAGGACAAACAACTTTTCGTAAAAGTACAAAAATATTGCGCAGAAACTGCGCACATCCACAATTTTTTCAACTTTAACATTAATTTATTGCTATTTAGGACCAAAAACACTTAATAAATTGCATGCCACTATATTTCGGAAACTCTTCTCTATCTTTTAACACCGATTAGAACTTTCTAACGTCTTTACTTTTCATGCAATACTTCATTTTTGTCGAAAATTTGGGGTTTTTACAAAAGCTCGTTTTTTCGAAAACTGAGGGTGATGGAGCAATTCGATTTTCGGATCCTTGATCGGGGAGTGAAGCTCTACAAGAATTTCATAGTGGCTATAGGAAATAAAAAATCGTGTCGGACAGTGTAATGGTACTGTTTTCATTGGAATGATAACGCGGCGTCTAGAAGCTTGGCGTTTCTCTCGGTTTACAAAACCTTTCGGGGCTTCGTCGTTCGCTGAATTCGTTCTTAACAACTTCTCGTAATAACTTTCTGACGTGGAGCAATCGCGCAACGAATCCGCGACGATACAACTAAATTGATTCTTTCAAAATTATAGAATATCTATATCTATTATAGAATATCATTTTCATATTTCCAATTCGTACGCGTTACGTTTTCGAACTATAATCCTTGGAACGACCGATTAAACGCAGGTAAGACCAAGGGATGACAGAAATATCTATTATTCGAAGTAACGATCGTTTATTGTCTTAAAATGTATTCTAGACAGTTTATACAAAGTATCTAAGAATCGTATTTTATCGTTTCCTTCCCTTGTTCTTCCGACCTTTTCCACCTTTTCTACCATTTCGGTTTCGCCTCCGTTCCAACAACTTCCGTGCCTTCAGGACTTGCTCCGGTCTTTTAAGTTCTTTGTTGATCTTAATTTTCTCTTTAAGTTTCTGATTGTGACGTGCCCAATGCGTGTTGGCGGTTGTCAGTACTGAAATTAACGAATTAAGTTTTATTTTGTGTCCAACGTTATACGATCGAGCAGCAAATGAAATTTCTTCGAGCATCGTTATCGCTTACATTTTTGCATTTGTGGAGACTCTTCTTCGCTATCGTCGTCGTTCGCGACGTCTATTTTGCTTTTCTCTTTCCAAGCCGAATAACGATTAGACTTGTAACTAGCAGGAATCCAAACTCCCGATTCGGTACGAATTTTCTTGGTCTTCTGATCCTTGAAAAGAAAAAAACATAAGAACAGTTATATCGATATCTTTCGATCGCAATTGAATTCCATCGCATTTAAAGTGCTTACGCTGTTAACGGTAACCATTTTCTTCTTCTTTCTATCCCATTTTTTGATTTGCGCCTGGAGACGTTGCGATTCCTCGTTGTCTCCGGTTAAGTCCATCTGAACTTTATCCGCTTCCGTATTGAAACTGTTAACCGCCAATCTATAAAACATAAGAATATAATTTGAGGAAGAGTAAACGAGGGAGAGTTATTTATTGATGCACTTGAGAAAGAATAAGGTTTTTCTTACCCCTCTTCAGTGTGCTTATCCGGAGCAGAATACGGAATAAAGAATTCTTCATCCTTGACTGTAGATCGTTTTTTCTTAGAAGGTTTGTACAAGTCGTCGATATTTCGTTTCTTCGGTAACACGACAGTGTTGAATGCCGAATTTATGTCTTCGTTTGTACTCGATGGGAGATTTACTTTTTTCGACCGATCTGTTCGAACGAATTGCTTACGAAATTCAAAACTTCATAGATTCTCACATTTTTTAAGGTACATACTTACCTTCCAGATCCTTCTTAAGTTTCAGTTCCTCCGCTTTTCTGTGAAAATTCATAATGCTTTCCTTATGAAGCGATCGTTTCGTTTTCATTACTTGATAGTCGGTCGAGGATGCTTTTGCCCCAATTTCAAATATTGTCTGTCACAAACGAGTTCTTGCATTTAGTAAATTAATAACTGAACGATTTATAGAAATCGTATGCACATACGTACTCCTTGCGGTCTGTAACTTAGAATCTTCGACAAGAAATTCCTAGTGTTGGCAGAAACATTAGAATATTCTGGTATAACACCTGCTTCGCCAATGTGTAACTCCTTTACCCTTTTAATACTGTCGGAAGAAGCAGCTGGCCGAGATCTGATATATTGTTTGTACGCGTTGTCGCATACTTTCTCCATATTTTGCTGTAAATAAAAATGCTTAGTTTATTAATTCTGTTTATCCATTTTTACTTTAATATTATTTCAAAACTATGTACCAAATCCGTGGAACTATTATGCCAATTTATTAATTCAGCAAGTTCTCCTTCTATCATATCTTGCGGCATTTTACCTATAGCGCCCTCCGCGTTCTCTACGGATCCGGATGTTGAAACGATGCATAGAGAACGACCAAGGAAAAGATGTAAGTCTACAAGATACGCATATTCGTCCGAGCTTATAATATTATAAGCGGTTCCTGTTCGGCCAGCACGCGCGCAACGTCCTGTTAACAAAATAATTTAAAATTTACGAGAATTCCGCGGCATAAGATAATATTACATATAATTTGCTCGCTTACCTACTCTATGCACAAACAGTTTTGATTTAGCAGGAAAATTGTAATTAATCACATTATCTAAATGTGGAATATCCAAACCACGAGCAGCAACATCTGTTACCACGAGAACTTTGATTTTATTTGTTTCAAATTTGGCTGTATTTATTTTTCTAGCCGATGGATCCAGGTTCGAGTAAATGAATGTATTAGAAATTCCAGCTTTATCTAAAATCTGGTGTTAAAATATGGGCGTTGTAGTATAAGATCGAATACATATATGTATGTAATATCGAGTATACCGAAACAAAGTATATTTATACCTGGTGAATATATTCTACATGATGTTGCGTGGCAGCAAATATTACTGTCTGAGAATCACTTTTAATAATGTTTTTTAATAAACATAACATTACTGCTAATTTTTCTTCCGACCTGCATACTATAAACGAAAGCGACAACTGTTCTGGTATTTTGCTTTCTACGTCTAAACGCACCAAGACAGGATCTGACAATCCAGCTTTGGCAAAATCTACCAGAATCTTAGGGAGTGTTGCGGAAAATAGTAATGTCTGGCGAGACTCCGGTAGTCTGTTTGTAATTTCATGAATTTGTTCTCCAAAACCCATCTCGAACAATCTATAATACAAAGTACAACATACAGATTTTGCAACTTCTTAACAATTAAAAATCACTCGCTAAAGAAGATGTTCTCACCTATCGGCTTCGTCAAAAACAACATATTCAATGCTTTTCAATTGTAAATCCATCTCGATACATACGTGCAAAAATCTTCCTGGAGTAGCAACTAATATATCAGGATTCCCATGAATAGCACCGAACTGATTTTCCATGCTATCGCCTCCTAAAATAATGGAAGCTTTCAAGCCTGTAAATTTTCCTATTTCCTTTATGAATTTTAATGTTTGTAACGCCAGCTCTCGAGTCGGTGATAAAATTAGCGCTCTTGCTCCAGCTTTTGCTTGTCTTACTTTTAATTTTTCGAATAGGGGCAGTAGAAAGCAAGCAGTCTTTCCACTACCAGTTCTTGCCATAGCAACTACATCACGGCCTTCCAAAGCTAAAGGAATTGTCTGGAAAATGTGTCCATTAAATTTTATCCTCGGGTATCGATAAACTTTTCATAATCAAATCATTTACCTTTCGTTGGATAGGTGTCGGTATTTTGTAACCACGTTTTAATATTCCCTTATATACAGGATAGCTAAGACCTATGGACTGAAATCCTCCTGATTTCTTGCATGCCTTTTTCTTAATTGTCGTGATTTCTTCTTCTTCTTCATCGCTTTCATTTACTTCCTTAAAGTTAGCAAACCCCACAATATCTGTGCCTTCCATTCTACAAATTTATAATAATTACAAAATATGTACATCAATAAACTGACATATATTTTTACAAATGAGTAAGTTGTACATACTGAGTTACACCTTTTGTACCTACTTGTGGCTATATTCTGTATGAATGAAAAGCATCGAACACATAAGCAGAGCTCTCAGATGCCTGACCGTTCTTGAAATTTCTACTAAAGGCCTCTTTTGTAGAAAAGATAAAGCATAGTTCGGGATCCGTACAGCGCCAATTGGTATAGTGGCAAAACGCTCAAACTGTTGGCCAAATTCAACGACAGTCGATTTTAGCCAACGGTTTCAGCGGTTTGCCACTACCCCAATTGGCGCTGTACGTATCCGAACTAAGCTTCACTTTTTCTCCCAAAGAGGTGCTACCATCTACGTGTACAGTACTATGTAAATTCAAGAACTCCGATCGGGGGTAACCAGGCTGTTGAACATAGTGAAGAACAAGAAATTGCTTTGCCCTGATTGGCTAACGATTAAAAACCAAGACCAGATTCACCGCGGATTGGATGCGCGGTAAAATGGTGGGGATTGAAGCGCTTGTTTTGGGGGGGACGAAAAATGTGCAGTACTGATATTGGTGCAGCTTAGGTTTTGAGCGGGACGAGTGTGGAGGGGATCGGCCATTTTTGTCGCATCCATCTTTTCATCATAATTCAACATGAAGTAAGTGAAGGTTTTTAATGAAATACATATCCATCAAGTGTAGTGTAATCGTTTGAAATGTTTGCATTGCGTAGAAATAGTTGCATCGCTAAGGTTCTGTTAATAAACATGTTGCGAATCTTTTTAGGATCGGTTTATGTGCGTACAGTGGGTACAAAATATACCCTGGCCATGGTAAAACCATGGTCAAAGTGGATGGAAAAGTAAGTACAATATAATTTTCACATGTCTATTGCTATAAAATCAAATTCTTGCCAGCCAAACCATTCGCAATTCACGATGATAAACTTTTGTTTAGTTTTTACTCATGTGTCGAAAGCTAACCCGCACGATGCTTTCAGACATTCACTTTCTTGAATTCAAAATGCGAGTCTGCACATTTAATGAGACGTAATCCTAGAAAAGTTACATGGACTGTACTCTACAGGTATCATTATTTTTGTATTTATATATACTTCAAGAGTATAACGTAATGTTATTTGCATCAAATGATGTAATTTTATAGACGGAAGCATAAGAAAGGCCAGGAAGAAGAACAAGCAAAGAAGAGGACAAGGCGCACTCAAAAATTCCAGCGTGCCATTGTTGGTGCATCCCTTACAGATATCTTAGCTAAACGTAACATGAAACCAGAAATTCGTAAAGCCCAAAGAGATCAGGCTATTAAGTATGTACAGCTTGTTTTTATATTTGTATACACTCGTTCATTGGGTTTTTTTATCGTGTGAAAAGATTATTATTATTATATGTAGACATCTGTTCCTCTGACATGATATCTCATGATATGTCAGATTTCAGAATGTCTTAGATCAAGAGGACTGCTTCACCCAGAATTGTTAGATCATATTCGCACTGTCTGGTTTTTGCGGGTTCAAACAAATTTTATAACATTATACATTTTATAATCTTTATAGCTTTCAAATCCATTATTTCATTCGTTCTGTGATTTCAGAGCTGCTAAGGAACAGAAAAAAGCTGCCAAGGCAACGAAGAAGGCAGTTGTACCATTGAAAACGAAGACAGTGCCCAAACATAAAGCTGCAAAAGTAACTCAAAAGTCAGCGCCACGTGTTGGAGGAAAACGTTGAATTCTGAACACATTGCAAATAAAATAAACTTTATATTTAAAAAATTCATTTTTCATTTTTACCAAACTATTTATGATTAATTGGACAATGCTAAAAATTACACTGAAACAAAATAATAAATTTTCCCAGTCGCAAATTCTTTTCATTCAATTTGGAATTTTGTACTTACATTCAGAATGGAATACTTTGTGTATAATGGGGAAATGAATTAATAAGTTAAATAAATTAAATTTATCCGAAACATCAAACAAATTGAATGAATTCCTGATAGTCTATAACGAAAATACTTTACTTAATCTCAAACGATAGTTTGTACTCTCCACCCGTAATGTTTGCGGGAAAGCTGAGTAAAAGACGTGGGTGCGGGAAGTCGTAGATTTCCTCACCTACATTCCCTCAGAATCCTGAACAAATTCTTAAAGTGTCTAGGCGCTAACGGAACTTATTTCATTCTTTTCATTTGTTTCACCAAAATATTTTTATTTTTATAATGAGATAGTATATAACTTTAAAATAATTTAGTTCTTCTTATTCAGTTCTTTTTTCAATAATGATAGTTTAGTCAGTGCTTCATCACGCCAGGCTCTTCTCTCTTGAAGTTTATCCAATGGACACATTTCATTCAACTGTTCGCTGATTTTGTCCGCCATCTCACCTTCGAATTTGGGAGTCGGGCCAAAAGTCATACTGGTATCGTATATCGAGTTCTTGTACGTTTCGCAATATTTCTTCATACCTAAAAAAATATAATAATTGTAAAATATCTCGTGAATTCTGCTGTTTTTTTTTTCTTGTGCGAGAGATCAAATTTACCTTCAGCGTTCAAATGAGCGGCTTCGAAAGCGCCAAGGAAGGCGTATCTCATCCCGAGACCCTCGCTCATAACTATGTCTACATCTTTCGCGTTCAGAACACCATCAGCTACCAATCTCCATGCTTCGTTCAAAATCGCGTATCTGAATGCACGAAATTTCGCTGATAAATATGTAAAATTTTCTTCATAAAATAGATTAATATTAAAATATCCATACTGTATACGATTAAGTGCGAATCCGTCGATTTCTTTATTAAATACAACAGGCTTCTGACCAATTTCAGTCATGATGGCTTTAGTCTTTTCTGGGATGTCTGGAAGCGTCCATGGTGCCGGAACAATTTCTACAAGCGGTACATAGTACGGGGGGTTCACCTGTGTCCATAACAACAAAAACATTCAAGCATTCGTGAATTTCTTACTACAAATTTGACCTATTTGATTCGAACACATACCGGGTGTGATACAATTACTTGTCCACGATGTTTTAGCTTTTCGCTAATTAACGATGGACGGAATGTGGACGTGGAAGAGGACAGAATTACTTTATCGTCGACTACTTTATCCAGTTCGGCGTAAACCTTCAATTTCAATGGTAGGTTTTCAGGTACGCATTCTTGAATTAGCTTAGCTCCCTTTACAGTTTCGGCCAAATCGGATGATCCTGTTTATTCATATTTCAACGTTTAATTAAATATCAGATGGATACGATATATACATATACTTATCGAAGTCTTATGGATCATAAATGACAAGCGAACCTTTAATTAACTTAAATTGTTGGTCCGCGGTAAGCGTGCCTCTCAAAAGACTGCCACTTTCAAGACGTTTCAATTGCTGTTGGACGTCTTCAAGAGCCTTCGTAATTTGTTCTTTTACAATATCGTAAATTATTACTTCGTATCCTACACTGGCAAAAAGCATAGCCCAGCTGCGACCAATTAGACCGCTAAAATAGAAATTAAAACAATTATTTTCATCATATAATAAAATTTGTTAAAACGCTCAAAAATGTATTTTAAAATAGATCAAGTGATGTAATTCTCCAGTGTTTATCATTAAACTTTTCCGTAGCTATCTATCTTATCTTAGATGAACTACTCTTAAGTTATCGCTAATAAAATGAACAATCAAATAAAAATTTTGGCTTGCATGTAAATGTAATTTCACAAACATACTTTTCAGTGAATAATATCTAATAGAAACCGACCACAGTAGTGGTCAACAAATGATAAATAAGATGAATAAGGTAGGTTGCTATATAAAATAATAATATTGTTTATTTAGAATCAAATAATTGAAATATGAAGAAATCGACTGTTGATTATATTTCATTTAGTAAAGCTTCTTTACCTTCCAATAATGCCAACTTTCTCGTTCTTAACCGACATTCTGAAGCAATTAAATCACTAACAACCAAACGCGATTGATGTATAATGCGGTGTCTGACGCTATTGTACACTATATAACTCTCCCTTCTAATGCATATATATGTATATATAAGCAACAGATTTTACCCCACTATTTCATTTCACGTTGTTGTCTTTGTTCAACCATCTCTAATCGACAAATATGAGTATATCACTGTAACACGGTCGTTATCTTTAAGCCCAATAATATTGCAAGCAGTTATCGAAACGCTTTTAAGTACCTTAGTGGAAATAAATTGTTATTATACGATATTATATCTCAAGTTGTTATACTTCTAACTACCATTTTGCTGTAATTTATTTATAAAGTATCTTGTTTCAGCTTTATTAAGAACGATATATTATAATATCATAACGGCAGTACTAATTATCGAAGAACATCATCTATTAATTAATCCGATACATTGTACATTCACTATTACAATTATGCATAAAGAAACTTTCATCGAGATAGATGGATAGATAAACTTGAGGCTCGACCACGATTATACGTACGTACTCGTACGTGCTTGCACTAGCTGTACATACTCATACATACGTATATACTTAAACTACTTAAAACAGATATGTATCGATTATCGAACAAGGTTTGTACGAATCTTTATTGAACGTATTTTCTTGGCAATTTCCAGTCAACTGAAATCAATTACTAAAATCATGTACCGTAATTCTAGTAATAAAGGAAAGAGAAGGAGAAGAAAAGATAAACAGAATAAAATAGATCAAAAGAAATGAAAATTATAAACAGCGTCGAAATATATATGCATAGCGTCGAAATATTTAATGTATGTATGCAAATATGTACATATATACATAGTGTTATGACTTGCGACTGCAACCGATGCGTTTGTACGATCAGTACATTTTGTAGGAAACTTGTTACATATATACATGCATGCTAAAGAGTGACTGATACTGTTAATGGCGCTGGATTTCCACGGGGAAAACCCTGCAACCGAACTCAAGGTTAAATGCAACTACGCCTTGTCAAGATAAGTTACAGTATTCATGTTTGGTTAGTATGCGATTGATCACGACTGTTACTGCAACATAGCAATTTGTTTATTTTGGAGTTTTTCTACGATAACTTTATTTATATCATTTTTGTTTGCTAGTTTTTTTTTATAACTTATACACCGAACAATAGTTGTTTGTGTGACCTTAAAAATATACATAATGCGTGAACTTTTTGAAAATTACGCGATTTGCGAGAATGTAACCGAAAGCCAGAATTATCCTTCTTACGGACATGGTAATTTTTGTTAATATTTTCCTATATGTTAAAAATGTTGACTTTATTGATTAATTTACTTATCATTTCAGTTTACTGGTAACAATGTAGTAATTTACTTATCCTTTAGAAAGTGCTGCATACAATGCAGTATTATAGTTTACATTCGAAATATGAAAATATGAAATTATAATTAAATGTTTATATTATGTAGTTTTAATCAAGATATATACTTATTTATTTTCAAGACTTAGAAATGATGAGTAATCAGGATGTACTTAGTCCATACACTGGATCTCAAGGAACAAGTGCTGCATCGCCTATTTCAACATCTTTATCACCATTGTATAATATGGATGTATCAATGAGTTCTTTCAGAGATGTTACAGGTATATATTCATATTTCGAAAATCCACTGTTATACCCAGTGTGTAACGATGAATTTCTAAAATGTGAAATGTTTTTATTTTAATATATATCTTCTCAGCCCTTGGCGAACCGTATCTTACAATTTTGGAACAACCAATTGAGAAATTTCGATTTCGATATAAATCGGAAATGATAGGAACACATGGAAGTTTAGTGGGTTCAAATGTTGGTAGTGGTCGCAATAAACATGCGCCAACTGTTCAGGTATATATATTTTCTTTATTTAATTGAGTAATGTAGTACTTTCGCTAGACGATCAATAATTTAATTCCTCCAGTTACATAATTTCCCCGTAAGAGCAAAAATACGATGTACGTTAGTTACATCCGATGAGAACGCAAGGATACCTCATGCCCACAGATTGGTACGTAGAGTTAATGGCGAAGACTGCGATGATCCTCATATAATTGACGTCACTCCAGAAAATGGCTTCATTGCAACGTATGCTATATTTTATTTATTAGTCACTAATTTTGCCGTCCCTATCTAAATTTCATTACTTTCGATTTCTTATTAATTGTATAATATATAGATTTCATGGAATGGGAATTATACACACAGCAAAGAAATATGTAAAAGAAGAACTTGTTAAAAAAATGCGATTAGAAGCAATTGAAAAAAAGAAAAGGGAAAGCGGAACCAATACTCTCACAACACGAGAAGAAGCTCAGGTACGGTATTTTAACATTATTCTTCAATTATTTTAATGTAGTTCTACTTTTTCTTATATAAACTCATTTTACCGAGTGATTTTATAGATCAAACATGATGCTGATACGTATCAGAAATGTGTAAACCTAAATAGCGTTGCATTGTGTTTTCAAGCGTTCATGTTGAATGAATACAACGTTATGACACCAATACCAAATTGTATTGTCTATTCAAATCCTATTAATAATCTCAGTAAGTAAAAAGTTATAATAGATATATTATATATATATATATAACCTTTGCTATAAACACTGCATGAAAATTCTATAGAGTGTACAAGAGATGTGTCACGACAAGTGATTTCTTTTACAACAGAATTTCGTTGAGATGTCATACATCCCAAGTGTACAGTAAAAATTAAAACATTTCCTATGAAAAAATTGTTTATAATATAATAATTTTTGTAATTTATTAGAAAGTGCATTAACTGGAGAATTGAAAATATGTAGAATTGATAAACTCAGTAGTAGTGTTGAAGGAGGCGAAGAAATTTTCTTACTTGTAGAAAAAGTAGGAAAAAGTAAGTATACTCTTTTTTCATAAAACGTATAAGAAAGTGTTTTCGAACGTCTATTTTTTTTATTACAGAGAACATAAAAGTAAAATTGTTTGAGTTAAATGACGACAACAATGAAATTTGGAGTGATTATGGTCGCTTTTCAGAATTGGATGTACATCACCAATATGCAATTGTATTTCGGTATTTCAGCAACTTAACACTAATCAATTTTTAACAAATAATCATTATTTACTTTTAATTACGTTCATGTATACTTTTATAGAACACCACGATATAGAGACGTCAATATTACATCTTCAAAGCAAGTCTTCATACAATTAGAGAGACCGACTGATGGTGATTGTTCTGAACCATTAAAATTTACTTATAAACCAAGCGATAGAATTATAGGTAAATTGAATATTCCAAATCATTCAAATAATCTTAAAAAAAAAAGTAATCAAAGTATGTAATACTCAGGAAGAAAACGCCAAAGAATGTCCCACTCTGGAAGCAGTGATTTATCGAACTTTGTATTACCTAATTTTAATACTGAAATAGAAAATATATCAGGACTTTCAAGCGGAGATAGTCGAGAAATTTCGACAGAAATAAAAAAGCTCTTATCAAGCGGTTCAGCCGAGAATTCAACGTTTATTAATAACTTAAACTTGGAAGGTAAACATAAACTACAAACATATCTCGATAAAGTAAAAATATTTGTAATTATTTTTATAAGTTTTATGTGTTTCTTTGCACAGAATATTTAGCAGAATTTCTCTCCAATGAGGACGCTTTGGTAACCGATGGCCCATCATCTAAACAAGTATATATATGTTCATTATTATTTTGCATTTCATATATTGATGCTTCAGTCTTTATTATTAATTTTAACTTTAACTTTATTATTAAGTATACTAAACAAATGGACAATATTTTATTTTCTAGCATGAGAATGATTTAATGTTCCCGAAAAATATACTTATGGTCGCTATGAAACACATGAAGTCAGATCAAAGTAATAATAGAGCGCATATACGTCAGCTGCTTAAAGACCGTTCCACGTTTGGAGATTCTCCATTGCACGCAGCACTCCGAAACGGTCAACGTGACATTGTCAAGTATATATTAATGTTGATAAGCTTCGACAACGATTGCAAGATACTTGTCAATGAACAGAATAGTTCTGGAAAGGTAAAATATCTTTTCCATACCATACTTTTTCTGCCAAAATTCTTACAAATATTCAACCAATTATTATGTATATGTACAGGTTGTTCCACAATTATTTTAACAGCCGAAAATGTGGGGTAGCTGAGGTCATTTGAAGTAACTTTTTCCTTTGCGAAAATGCAATCCGCGACTTTGTGTACGAGTTATTAACGAAAAACACTGACCAATGAGAGGTGACGGCGCGAAGTTCGAGAGCCCGCAGCACGAGGCTTTGACAGAAGGTCGGGACGGACTCGAGCCGCGTTCGAAGTATTGAACAAGTCACGAAGCGAGAACTTTCCGGATTTTTTTTACTACGTAACAGTAATATTTTTAAGAAAAACGCTGTTCACCCATATTTTAGAACGTCTGAAGAATATTTACTAATTTTTCGGACCCGAAATAATATGTAGTGTAACCGTTGATAACAGCCGTTTTAATTTTCTGGTGTGCATGACACCTCGTGTGTAACACACGAAATTGTTCAGCAAGGTGTACAGTGAAGATTAACAAAGTTCGTAAATGTTATTTTAATTTAAATAATTCCGTGTCAGAGAAATATGAAAAATATTATTAATCAGAAACTCGTCTATTTAGTTGAGGATGCATTTGTTGGCTGGGGAATTGTGGCTCACGATGTCGAAGGGCACTGACCTCGTACAACGCACAGCTGATCTTTCACTGCACTGCCACCAAACACTGATCACTTAATTAATCACCGTGATAATCCGAAACACTTGTGGATATTACAAAAGATGACTGCGACGCGTTCTAGAGTTCTTTCCCGGAATAGCTCTGGCTGAATTTACGGATCCGCGAAGAGCGGCCGGAGAAATGTCACGGAAGAGGAGGAGCTTTCTAATTGGGAACGTTTCGGCCTAATGATTGCAAACCTGCTCGAGCCGCCGGTAATCAGACGGGATCGATACATGGGAATCNCAATTTCAACGTTTACTTTCACTGCATTATCACTAAACACTGATCACGTATCAATAATATTTATGGACCAACTTTCCTGGATTATTATGTATGTCTCTGAAAAGAGCCGATTTTTTTATGCAATGCGTTCGAAGTTCTCACTGTTAACGACACGTATGTGCCGCGTTGTCGAGACGAACTGCAGAAGACTGGCACGATGGCCGACAGTGTTTCGTTCTCCTACGAGCGAATTTCAACTGTTTTCCATCGAACGCGAACATTGTCAGCCATCGTGCTAGTCTTCCGCAGTTTATCCCGTCAACGCGGTATGTGTTCTTAACGATATGAACTTCGAACGCGTCGCATAAAACAATCGGCTCTTTTCAGGGCCATACATATTAACCCAGGAAAGTTGGTCCATAAATATTATTGATAAGTGATCAGTGTTTAGTGATAATGCAGTGAAAGTAAACGTTGAAATTGCCTGCCCGGAGACATCCTTCTGTTCGTCGCTATCGGATACATGAAGTGGATTTTACAACTAAATGGGTGAGTATCTTATTGATAATATTCTTCATATTTCTCTAACAAACATATCCCTTACGTCCTTTAACACGATTATTATTTATTAAATTAGCTTTGCGAATCATTCGTTGAACTGTGTTCGGACACGGAATTATTTAAATTAAAATATCATTTACGTACTTTGTTAATCTTCACTGTACACCTTGCTTAAAAATTTCATATGTTACACACGAGGTGTCATGCACACTAGAAAATTAAAACGGCCGTCACGGTTAAATTACTTATTATTTCGGGTCCGAAAAATTAGTAAATATTCTTCAGACGTTCTAAAGTAGAGGTGAACTGCGTTTTTCTTAAAAATATCACTTTTCGTAGTAAGAAAAAATCCAGAAAGATCTCGCTTCGTGACTTGTTCAATACTTCGAACGCGGCTCGAGTCCGTCCCGACCTTCTGTCAGAGCTTCGTGCTGCGGGCTCTCGAACTTCGCGCCATCACCTCTCATTAGTCAGTGTTTTTCGTTAATAACTCATAAACAAAACCGCGGATTGCATTTTCGCAAAGGAAAATGTTACTTCAAATGACCTCAGCTACCCCAAATTTCCGTATTTTGAAACATTTTTGGGACACCGTAACAGTGATATTTTTAAGAAAAACGCTGTTCACCCTTATTTTAGAACGTCTGAAGAATATTTACTAATTTTTCGGACCCGAAATAATATATAATGTAACCGTTGATGACAGCCGTTTTAATTTTCTGGTGTGCATGACAAATCGTGTGTAACATATGAAATTTTTAAGCAAGGTGTACAGTGAAGATTAACAAAGTACGTAAATAATATTTTAATTTAAATAATTCCGTGTCCGAACAGAATTCAACGAATGATTTGCAAAGCTGATTTAATAATATATAATCGCATTAAGGGACGTAAAGGATTTGTTTATTAGAGAAACATGAAAAATATTATCAATAAGAAACTCACCCAAGTTGAGGATGCATTTGCTGGCTGGAATTGTGGCTCACGATGTCGAAGGCCACAGATCTCATACAACGTACAGCTGATCTTTCACTGCACTGTCATCAAACACTGATCACTGTCTCTTATACACATCTAGATGTGTATAAGAGACAGCTGTACACCTTGCTTAAAAATTTCATATGTTACACACAAGGTGTCACTGTCTCTTATACACATCTAGATGTGTATAAGAGACAGCTGTACACCTTGCTTAAAAATTTCATATGTTACACACAAGGTGTCACTGTCTCTTATACACATCTAGATGTGTATAAGAGACAGTTCTAAGAGCGCAGGCTACCGCCATATGAAATAAACAAGATATGCCGAGACGTAAACTGTGTCCGATCCGCTGTCACCGACGGTACCCTGCGCTCTTAGAACGTTTGCGGATGATCGTTTACACGACGCGTTCGCGGATAATCGTTTATTCGACGTGTTCGTTCGGAAGTCGACGTTTCACTGCCGAAAAATTCAGGCTGTGACTGTGGGCCCTTGTTGTTTGTCGTTCGGCCGTCCGAGGAAATGACACCCGATAACCTTGACATAACCATTTTCTTCGAACGGCCATTAATTACGTTCTAAGAGCGCAGGGTACCGTCGGTGACAGCGGGTCGGACACAGTTTACGTCTCGGCATATCTTGTTTATTTCATATGGCGGTACCGTGCGCTTCGAAGAAAATGGTATCGGGTGTCATTTCCTCGGACGGCCGAGCGACGAACGACAAGGGCCCACGGTCGAGGCCTGGATTTTTAGGCAGTCGAACGTCGATTGCCGATCGAACGCGTCGAATAAACGATTATACGTGAACGCGTCTCAGTCATTTTTCGTAATATCCACAAGTGTTTCGGATTATCAGCGATTAATTAAGTGATCAGTGTTTGATGACAGTGCAGTGAAAGATCAGCTGTACGTTGTATGAGATCTGTGGNTCGGATTATCAGCGATTAATTAAGTGATCAGTGTTTGATGACAGTGCAGTGAAAGATCAGCTGTACGTTGTATGAGATCTGTGGCCTTCGACATCGTGAGCCACAATTCCAGCCAGCAAATGCATCCTCAACTTGGGTGAGTTTCTTATTGATAATATTTTTCATGTTTCTCTAATAAACAAATCCTTTACGTCCCTTAATGCGATTATATATTATTAAATCAGCTTTGCAAATCATTCGTTGAATTCTGTTCGGACACGGAATTATTTAAATTAAAATATTATTTACGTACTTTGTTAATCTTCACTGTACACCTTGCTTAAAAATTTCATATGTTACACACGATTTGTCATGCACACCAGAAAATTAAAACGGCTGTCATCAACGGTTACATTATATATTATTTCGGGTCCGAAAAATTAGTAAATATTCTTCAGACGTTCTAAAATAAGGGTGAACAGCGTTTTTCTTAAAAATATCACTGTTACGGTGTCCCAAAAATGTCTCGCAATACGGAAATTTGGGGTAGCTGAGGTCATTTGAAGTAACATTTTCCTTTGCGAAAATGCAATCCGCGGTTTTGTTTATGAGTTATTAACGAAAAACACTGACTAATGAGAGGTGATGGCGCGAAGTTCGAGAGCCCGCAGCACGA